AGCTTTCCTGTTTAAATGGTGGTTAGTAGCTTGCAAGTTGTTTTTGTTGCCTACAGTTCTTGCTGAAAAGCATATGAAATACAGGTATCCTTCTGGCTTTCCCCCCCTTTCCCTACTTATCTCCAAAGCTGTGAAACTTGGAAGAGAAATGCTTTATAGCATTATGAATTTGCTGACATAAATACTTACTAATCAGAGTGATAAATTTCTGTCTGATCCAAGCAGCAAAATAAAATAAAAAGGACATATTTGTGCCAGCATATATCAAACCCCCTTGAGCTGTGCTTCTCTGTCAGACTTCATAAATACTGGATCTGTCATCCCAATTCAGCTGCAGCACTACAGACAAGACAGTAGGAAAGTATTTATTTGATATGATTATGATATAAACCTCATGTCTGACTCTTCTCTCCCTCATAAAGAGGAATATTAGATTAGATGTTACCACATGTGCATTGTAATCAGCCTTCTTTTCACTGACTTCTTTTTGATCGATGAGAGAACAATTTTGCTTATTTTACCTCGGCCAAGAAAAAGCTAATTATATTCATTTCTGAACATGTGATGTTATTAAAATTGAGTGAAATGGTTCTGAATAAAATACAGAACTTGGAAAAATGGTTATGTCTATTATTAGCAACAGGGCACATTCTCACTGCTGTAATTGTGGGGATACTCGAAATGATCTGGCTTTTTGTCACCATCGTAGAGGGCAAAGAGAAAGCAAAATGTACCAAAGGGCTGCACTTGGGACAGATGTACTGCATCTACAGCCCAGATGTCAGCTAGTCAGCTTAAGGTAGTTTGGGAGGGAGGTCCTCAGAGAGAAGAGAGACAGACACTTAAAAGGCCTTTCCCCCCGTTCACCTCCTTTTATCTCTTCTCTTGCGTCTGTTTTTGTCTCATCCATCCTTTGGCAGTACAGCAGCATGCTAATGAGCAAATACCTGGTGCGGCTGAGACCGGCATTGGGGAATAATTAGTGCTGGTGCCAAATGCCCGTTCTGCGGCCTATCAGACAGTGTGTGGTTGTGTGTTAGTACCTAAGAACTCATATACATGTGAGGATCACAAAAAGTGGCTAAAGATGCCTTTATTTCCCATGCTCTGTAACGAGACAGTAAACACCTGATGTATTCATGGTGCTTCAGTTCAGTCTTTTATCCCTTCCAAAGGTTTGTTATTATACTAGGGTTCTTATGACTACTTCTTTACATGGGTTTCTACCGACTGTAATGTTGTATTTGCAGTGGCTTTGCATATTACACTCCATGTTTTTCTTTGTTCTGCTCTCCTTCAATAAGTTTTATTGAATGTATCCTTCTGGAGAAAGGCAGTGACATTATACTGAAGCAAACAGCCAAAGATATTTAAATCGTCTTCTAGATGAATGTATGCAAATGTCAAGGTGACAGCTTGCTGGTGTTTACAGTTTCATCTTCAAATGTTGAACTATGTGTTTAATCTATTTATTATGTGTTCCTATGACAGCTTTTAATTTATTACCAGCAATGCAAAAGGCACTTTCTTAAATAAGCAGGCAGTAGATGTCCTCTTGAACAGCAAATGGAAGGAACAATAAGAAAATAGTTGTATGTGTGTCAGAAGTAGAAGCTAGAGACCAAAAGACAAGGCCAATGTTGTTCAGAGGAAAAACACGCTGTGGAGATTTTGTTGAATGTGAAAATTGTAGAGAGCAAAGGTGATTTATGGCACAATTTTCCTGTTAGAGGGTCCCCTCTAAAGCTATGGTGTATATTCTACACCATGAAGCTACTTTACAAGGTTGCTTCACTGTCACCAAGAAATGTTCTTAAAAAATACCTCACAAAATAAAATCTGAATAATAGAAATACTTGTTTCCCTTGCTTGTTAAGAAGACTATTTGGCTTTATGTATTTAAATGCAGTCTGTTTAGAAAATTACCAGAATTTCATTTTCTAGAAATGGGTTAAGACCTTGAAGCAGAAGCATTTAAAAGTACATTTGTTTTCATCAAAATTTATTTTTGATTTGCTAAAAATAGTTTGAAAATGTTTACTTGAAAATATGTACTTGCAACCTCCTTTTTACCATTTTGTATAATAGTATTTCTGACCATACTCTGTACAAAAATATCTGTAGTGGAAACAAAGTCCATATACTATGATGCATTTTTATCACAAAGAGTGTCCAGTGGCAGCGTGCACAGTCTGGAACAATGTCACAAATAGAACAACACATTTTTCCTGTAGATATCCCATTTACATAACTGAAAATTACATGTGTCCTAGAACAGTATAATTATTTTTTATTATATAAATAAAACTTTATTCAAATAGGTTTAAGGGCAAGTACATGTGACAGCCTCCCACAATTTAATTCCTAAAATCAACTAAGTACTGAATTACCATACTCTTACTGGCTATAAAATAATGCTCATTAAAGGTGTTTTAAAAGGAAGAAACAACAAAAATATTTTTTTTTTTTCTGAAGGATGATTAAAATACACATCACACAGGGCACATCATCTTCTCCCCAAGAAGTTCAAAATTTTTAATTAGAGACTCAATGTCAGTGGCCACAGCCGCGGTGCGCTCTGATTTGGTCTGTGACACGTTGGGGTGTTAGGAGCTCGTCAGAGTAGTCGAGTCAACCATCGTCACAGGTTTTGATGTTTTTCAAAGAGATCCTGCTGACTGGGTGTAGAAAAGGGGAAAGAAAACCGGGTGGAGTTGATCATCAGAAATGCAGGTGCCCTGGCAAGGGGGAAGGAAAACAAGGGCACGTGGGATTTTGGAGGTGTAGCGTGCGTGGCAGAGCTTGGCACTCCCGCCTTCTCTGCCAGGGTTCAAACAGAGGAAGAGCCTTGATGAGGATGCAAGAAAATCAATATCTGAGAATTAAACCGCGGCAATCGTGCTTTCTTTCCCGTGTGAGTAAAATGGCCAACATAACCACGTGCAGTCAAAGCACAGTTTAAATGAAAGTGTTAAGAGGAAACATTTGAAGCGGGCTACAAGAGGGTGGGGAATGTGTCCCTTTTGCTCGTTTGGATGAAAGCTGCGTGAAGGCAGAGCGTCAGGAAGGGAGAGCTAGCAAGTGATGGCGATTCAGTGGTTTAGGGGAATTAATTACTGACAGAAGGGCGCAGGCATCTGTAGCTGTGGCAGGGTTTGCTGGCATGTCCAGCAGTGCTGATCCCCAGGCTGTGGCCAACAGAGACCCGAGGCCACCTGCCCTATGCAAGCCTGCTGGTGCCACCTCCTGCCCGTGCCCCGGCTCCCCAGCTGGCTGTGGGACAGCTGCTCTGCTGCAGGGCAATGCAGCACAGCCTGGGGTGCTGGCACCCCAAGATTTCACTTTCTAAGCCTGTGTGCCTCTGAGCTAGCACTGTAGTGCTTGTGTGAAAGGTGGAGAAGCTGGAAACACAGCAGGAGACAGAGAAATGGAAGAGGATGAGGATGAGAGTGAGGGTGAGCATGAGGATGACGAGGAGAAAGTGTTTCTGGGAAAGCTGACCCAGTGGAGAAGCCAACCCTCAGGAGAGGGCTCACAGCTAGATCACTCTTAATGGAGGAAGGGTCTTGTCTCTGGCCAGTCAGCCAGGACCTTCTGATCTGTCATCCCAGCACTTGGGCTCTCTGGGCTGATTTTCTCTTGCCAGTTCATCACTGTCCTTAAGGTGTATTTGCAGATATTACCCAATACCTGTGTATTTGCAGAAGTTCCATTTCCTCTGACCTGAGGTTGGACTGAGATCCTGGCTCAGCTTGTGAATGGTGCCTGAGACCTTCCCATGTTTTGGTGTCTCAGAGGTGCCGTGTTGGGGTCTGTTCTACTTCTCGTCTGGTTTAGCTGCCTCGCTGCCAGATGACAGACCTTGTCTAGGTGCTCCAATCTCCCATATGCTTTTTTCGGAGAGATAACCCAAATGGTGCACCCCACACTGCAATGGAGGATTGCACAAGGGCAGATGCAGATTTGACAGCTGGTTTCACCTACCCAAAAAAATCTTGCTTCATTTCACTGTGAAATTCCAGCCACACTGGGTCTCTCTGATGAAGCATCTTTTCTTCCCATCATGATGCTCTAATCCTTTGCCAGGAAGGCAGGAACTTTTTGAGTTAGGTACCAGCTAATCCTACTAATAGCAAATTCCTGGCCACTGAGGCACCATCTCACCAGCCAAATAAGAAAAGTGGCAGGACCCTCCAACTCAGAAGAGAGCGAGCTTGCTTTCCCTCACTCCCTTTTATTTCAACCCCCGCCAGGTGGAAAGAGATAAAGAAAAGCAAAATTCAAATATAACCTTCCTCCCCTGCCCTTAGTTCTAAAATAAATAGAAAAATAAATTCTTGATAACTAAGCAGAGCTCCAAACTGACTATGGCAAGTCATTATAGTATGTAGATTTGTTTTCTTTATACGCAAAACCAGAATGAAAATCCCATATAAGCTTCTTTTGGCAGTATCTGAAATTGCATGCCTGATCTTTTTACGCAGCAATCCCTCACTGAAAATGCTTCTGCAATTTAAATGCTGTGTGAAGCATTTACTGTTCATACTCTATGCAAAGGTCTCAGGGAGGAAACACGAATTTATCTTATTGCAGTCATTAATGTGACGGTCTTCAGCTAAGCAGGATAGTACAGTGTTCCTGGTTATACAGGGGCCTCAAACTGTATTTTTTTATGGTCACATATAAACTGGCCCATAATAGCGTATCAATAAACCTCAATTACACTCAGGAAAATACTAAAAGCAAAGCTCAAGTGAAGCTCAATAAAGTCTACAGGCATATTAGAGCTGTGTGGAATAGTGACATCCATCTGGTATTTTTCAGTGACTTCTAGTCAATTACTACATTTCATCGTATGTAATCCTCTTTTATCTTCTGTTCCTGCTGCTACAGTAATTCTCACTCTGCTACATCTGTGGCTTTACTGTGAATTTTTATCACCTATGAGTAAGTGGATCTTTCTTTTTTTTTTTTCTTTTTTTTTTTTTTACCACCAGCAGTTGTGCTGTACCTGCTTGGGAAAAAGAACCCCGAAACAACCCAAGGAAATAAGAAAGATTTAATTGCAAAAAAGTGCAACACAAACCTAAAGACCACAAGGTAAGGATGTAAAATAAACTTATTCAGATAGGGGCAGATAATAATGAGCATGGCAAAGATAACTTTCCCATCAGAACATGAATTGTTGAAAACCTGCTGTAGGTTGCAGTGTCTGGAGTGACATGTATTTTTAACAACCTCCTGTGGTTTGATCATATCTGTGACAACCCATTAAAAAGAGCATTCTAAAATAAGTCATAACTGTATTTTTCTTGGAGAAGGAAGCTTTGGCTGTCATGTCCTTATGATGAACATTAAATCCAGAACATTTAATTCTTTCTGTATGTTGAAAAATACAAGGTTAAAACCTGCAACAGAGAAGTTGATCTTACAGCACCAGTACTCTGAGCTAGTCTAATCACATGCTAAAGCCTACAAAAGCTCCCACTGATTTCTGTGTGGGTGGAGAGGGTGCAAGGAAAAGCCTGTTCATTTCACAGCCTTGTGCAAAGGGCAGGCGTCACATAAAGCTTTATACTGGGAGAAGCAGAGGGACTGTTCTCTTGGGGCTTCAGAGAGAGAAACCTGGCCTGGTGTAAATTATGAGGTTCTCTACGGGAATATTGACTGATGAGTGGAGCCATCTTTACAGTTACCCTAAACTCAGGGGACACTTCTAGAGAGGTAATGAGCTGAGAGACTCAAAATGAGAACAGAGCCACAGAAGAAAAGGATAGAAAGAGGAGTGAGAAAATGCATGGGATGGACCCGCACCCTGGCTCTTCTGCACTCTTGCACCAGTTTCTGTGATGTTTTCAGGTGATCAACACCCCTCCCATGGAGAGACAAGTGGAAATGTCACCCAGCGACACAGTCTTTTTCTAGAAAGATGGCTTTCCTTCTGAAGTACAATTTCCCAAGGGGCTTGGAGCGGAGTTGCTTGAGCACTTTTTGTTTGGAAGTTATTTTGCTGTAGATGAGATTAAAAAGAAACTAGGGCTCAGCTTGTTCAGCCAACTGAAACAGAGACTGATTGCTCCCTCAGAGTAGCTCAGGAAATCAGGACTCTGTAAGGCAGAAGAGCAGAATTAAGTACTATAAACAGGCCAGCACTATACAACATCTGCAAATTAGTAGGTCTCTAAGCAGAGGAAGAGTGAGGCTGTGGAGTCGCTTCCCGGTTGGAAGAGAGGCTGCAAGAGGCCTGAGCAGATTCAGGATAGAGCACGATCAGCTGGAGAAAGGGGTGAATTGATGTGACTGAGAGAGGCAGCAGGAAACAGGATTTGATGGTGTGTGAGATTTCTTCCAGGTCTCTACTCCTATGAAAAAGGAGGAAAAAACTCCTTAAAAACAAAGAAAACCAGGTGAAATATTTGACTTTGTCTACTTTCTCCAGTTTGAATGAAAATGTCAAGGATAATATCGGTAAGAACTACACATACTTAAACCCGCTCCGCAACGGGGATCCTGCGCAAGGATCATTATGGGGAGACCTTATTGCTCTCTACAACTACCTGAAAGGAGGCTGTAGAGAGATGGGGGTCAGTCTCTTCTCCCATGTCACAGGCGACAGGACGAGAGGAAATGGCCTCAAGTTACTCCAGGGGAGGTTCAGGCTGGATATTAGGAAAAATTTTTTCACTGAAAGGGTTATCAGACATTGGAATGGGCTGCCCAGGGAGGTGGTTGAGGCACCATCCCTGGAGGTGTTCAAAAGACGGGTTGATGTGGTGCAGGGAGGTATGGTTTAGTGATGATGCTCCTTGTTTGTTGTGCGGGTGTCTATTTTTGTCAGTTAGGTTGATGGTTGGACAAGATGATCTTTAAGGGCCCTTCCAACCTAGAAGATTCTGTGAATTCTGTGAACTACACACAAGAAATTGTTAAAATGCACATATTACCCTTACTTGAAGACATTAATTTATTTTTATAACTCTTTCCAGTTCCAGAGAGGTGGATTCAGGGACAGGCAAGCCTCCTCTCCTCTCCCCATGCCAGAAAAAGCTGGCAAGGGGACACTGCTGCTCCGAGGACAGTGGTGCAGCAGTACCTTTGGTGTATTCAGAGCTGTTAGGGCTCTAGAAAAGCAGCTTTTCCTACTCTCCTAGAAGTCCCTCTGAAGAGGCAAGTCTATGCCTCCCCTGTGGTCTGCTTGGGGCTGGAACTGAGCGTCACCCCCATGTCATGGATCAGATGCTAGCAGCAGGAGCTGGCGGGAAGGGTGGCAGAGCTCCCCAGACCGACGAGCTGCCCGGGTGTGCGCATTCAAATGTCACTCAGTTCCCACAGTAAGCAAATACGCAGCTGCCACGAGAGAACTGTTATACAGTTTTTAAGTCCTGGTTATAAAACTTGTTATGTATTATTTACTCAGCACTGACAGCTTGCTCTGCGCTGTGCACACAAAGCAGCGCGGCTGCTCTGCCTGCGGGATCTTCTGATCTCAGGGATTAAAAACCAGGCACAATCCGAAGGTTTAGGAGACACAGTCTGAATCTGGATTACTGGCTGGGTGCACCCAGAATCCTGGCCCACTCCTGTCTGGACTCTGTATTTCCTTTCCAATTAATAGATATTAATTTCCTGTCTGTGGAAACTGAGATGCATTCAGGGCTCTTGACCTTTCTGGAGTTGGGATACTGCTGGGACATGTACCTAAGGACTAGGAAACAATCCAGTCTTTTAACCTACACATAGTCTTAAGTAGCTTTATATCCAGTGAAAGCAGAAATTCCTGGAAGAATTGAATCAGTAATTCAGCACTTGCATATAACTTTTTAAACACATATTCCAGTGTCCTTGTATGTTATTTATTTTTCTCAGCAGGTCAAGTTATCTGACAAGACAATTACAGTGATGCACACTTAAAATACCTGGCTCAAAGATTGCTCAGGTGCCTGCACAACATGGTATCATGTCATTTGAACATGTCTAATTTCAGTATCTCCAAATGGCATTAAAACCAGCCTGCACAGGGAGCGGCGAGTGCCTAGAGTCAGCCAACAGTAAATCCTGAGAGTGGGGATATCTGAATCCCATCATTTTTGAAAGTCTTGGCTGCTACTTTTTGTCTTGTATGGTACCTTCTTTAGTACAAGAGCATTTGACCAGCACTTAACCCAGCCTAAGGTTGGAAGTGTTCCTCAGCCAGGGGAATGTCAGACCTATATGGCCCAGCTGGCAAAACAAGGACCTCAGGACTGTAGTAGATGTTCTCTCCAATGGTCCTTGATGGGGTGCATCGCTATGTCACATATTATCACAGTCAGCTGTGATAATTTCTAAAGATTGTGACAAAAACTCAGGATGCAGGGTCTGAAGGAAGAAGACCATCCTATTGTACAGAGAGCAGTGCATAAAAGATATGGAAGAGGAAGAAGGAAAGAGATTGGAATAACTGAAGGAGCATGGGGGCTGAGGGACAGAGAACAAAAGTGAAAGGAACTACCAGCAACTTCATGAGCATGCTGAATCTGAAGAGCCCTAACAAAAGTGAGCAAAAGCCAGTGAGCACTGATCTTTTACTGGGTGTATATTTTGGCTACGGGGTCAGTAAGGATGGAATCCAGCACAGCAATTAAAACACCCCAAATTCATGTGTCTGTATGTCAGTCTGTACATGTGAGCTGTGAGTACAAGCCTCTGCTATAGTCAGTGGAGGTCTGAGAAAAGGTCAGTTGTCTATGTGTAGGTGATTATTGCTTCCTAAGAAGCCACAGAGTATCCAAGATACTTCTCTGCAGATGCCAGGTGCGTCACAAAACTTCATCTTTGTGCTCAATGACAAACAGGATATCCCACAGTACCTAAAAATTATACCAGCTGCCCAAGTGTAAGTAACTAAATCATACACCTGGTCGGTACAGTCTGAGAGGTCCAAAGAGCTGTCTGTCCAACCCTTGCAGATGATGCTGAACAGCTGTCTGGGCTTCACTGGCTCAGTTGAGGAGGAACTCAATCCACTGCATTAATATAAGCATCCAATGCCTTGGGAGTTCTCTCCTGAGATCAGTGGTGATGCTCAGGAGGCTGTTTCATGCCTCTCCCCACTCTGGTTACTCTCCAAGTTCTGGATACAGAACAATTTCAAGGTCTTGCTGCTTTCATCATCATCAGGCAACTTTTCCAATAATCAGGCAGCTGCAACCCTGTGCTATGCGACACAATTAATCTTTATGAAGTTGTAGTTTCACTGAAATGGAAGACTCACCAGTATTCATTAGCAGCTGCCGATTGATGTAATTCTCTTTATTTTGGCCACCCTTGAACTTTAATTATGAAATTAGAGGTTGTTCAAAATGCCGCAGCCAGACAGCCCACTGTTCCAGGTTTAAGTGATTAAATGCTCCCTGGCCTTCATTTTCTGAGCTGGCTTCCCAACCAGTGTCAGGTCAAGACAGATGAATTGGAGTACAAAGCAGTACAGAACTTGGTGCTCTGATTTCACAGTTCTTGCTTTATTATTTTAGACCCTCATTCTTCCTTGTAACTTATTAGGGACCCGAGACACAAAACAAGAAAATTCAGCTACCTTTTCAAAAGTTAACTCACCTTCAGCAAAGATCACCATTCTCCCATCCTTTTACACACTCGATGTCCATACATCCTATTTTGCTTTCCTTCTAGGAAGCCGAGCTGGTTGTGGTTCCAGTTGAAGAGAATACTTCTCATTTTATTGAAGGGGTGAATAAAGGAGGAATGACAAGCAAATGCCCTAAGTCCTCTACTGAAACCAAACCTCTGGGGTCATAATCGTGATAAGTGTGGGGTCACCTGTGACAGGCTATGAGTGAAAGTTCTTAGCAGGGGATGGGGATCAAAGGCTGCAGAGTCCAAGCTTATTTCTACCACCTTGTTTCAGTCTTAGGCACACTTCAGCAGCCAGACTATGCTGACTATAGTTTTGATTTTGCAAAACCTTTTGACTCAGCTTTTGCAAAACCAAGCTAGAACAGTATGAACCTGGATTTGAATTTATCCAAGATAATGATGTCTGAGTCAGGAAGTGAGAAGTGGTCTTAGGAAGAAAAAGTGAATGTTTTTTTAAGTTGGTCTCC